AAAGATTTAAGCTTAAATCTCGTTTAACGTTTAAAGCGACATATCAATGACTGCAACCATCGTGTTGTATACAAACCTCGCAAACTTTAAAACACGTTCTCTAGTGATACCTGCGAAAGTATTCAGTATAATTTCCGGTAAGATTTTCGCGGACAATCTGATCGATTTCTCTTACATTGTGTGCTGAGACTGAAACTTTTCACCTCAAGCAAATCTCCGTCGCACGGTCCAAACAAACATAGTGAGCAACTGAGCTACTAGTATATGTCCGTGTTAAAACACACGAAAGGACTCTAAAGCACACTTCACTCTGATTGGGCAGAAAAACACAAAGATTTTCTGGCACCAATCAGATGGCAGAACGACTGCGACCGTTTGGAACTAGTCTTGTAAGACAATGTCCCCAGGGGCTCTTCATGCCCTAACTTGAAATCGACCCACAGCCCCTGGGTCTCCGAGGATGGGTTTGACTCTGTAAGACTCAATTTGAAAAGAAGTATGTAAGCATGTACGTTTGAGAATTTAAATGAAGTTAATGTAAAGCAGGGCTCAACACTTATAACAGACTAGCCAACTAGCTACAGACTAGTAGAAATTCAGCTTTGGCTAAGTGGTTTTCGATTTCCACCAGCCAGTTTTCCTGGTAAACAAACTGAAATTGTTGTAACATCTAAGTTGTCACAGCCACTTGGCTTAAGTTAGTCACAGTTGAGCCCTGTAAAGGCTACTTGTAAGCAAGAAGCCTGCACATCATAAGTATACAGTCAGGTACATTGATCTATCTGCTTGCCAGCTGCTTTTGGAATCTCATTTGCATGTTGCTTACTAAACAGCCAATTGATATAAATTACAAAAAAACTACATTTTTTTTTCCCCATAGTGTCACCTGAGCTAACCAATATTCCATATGGCTAATTTGTTACTGTATGAGTTGAGGGTAATATAAAGGTGGGGAGAGGGCTTGGTTGGTCTTGACTTAAAAGTTTCAGGGAACTTTTAGCCTTATTTTTTTTTTTATTTATTTATTTTTTTGTCCTTTTAGGATCGGTTTCTACCAATTGCAAATGTGGCCAGAATAATGAAGAAGTCTATTCCCAAGACAGGGAAGGTATGGAATAAATGACCATCTGGATTATCATGCTTGTTGTGCAAAATGTAAAAGAACAAGTGGGCAGCTTTTAGCTCTTTACACCTCAAGATCAGGATACATATTCTCCACACTGTTCTCATTACATGTCTTATTGTATTATAAGGAGAATCTGTTGATATGATCACCAAGCTTTGATGGCTAAACAAATTCTCCTTGTCATTAGCAAAGGAAATGGGTAGAGAACAATATGAAGAATACAGAGACCAATGTTAGGGTGTTAAAGGGGAACTGAAGCCTAAAAATGAACCATTTCAAAATTGCAGCTTATAGTTCAAATAGCAATGTTCGAGGGTTTTTCAGTCTTTGGGCCCAACTTCGCCTCGGAAAAATATTTTAAAGTGGTATTTTGGCCTCATAGTACGCTGGCTCAGAAAAGTGATGTCAGCGGTCATTTTAGCTCGCTCTTACATCACTGGTGGGGAAGAAAGATAATAAACCCGTACTCTTCCTACAGAAATTTGGTTTGGTTATGGCGTTATTGAAGTTACATGACTTGTAATGGGGATTAACTACGAAAATGAAATAGTAACAGTTGTTTTTCTTAAGTTGGTTCGCCACCACTGACGTCATAAACGACTGCTGCTGACCTATTTTGAGTCGACGGTCTTACAGCCCCAAAAGGCAACTTCAAATTGAATTTTCTTGTAAAAAAACAAGAAGTGAACAAAAATGAGTATTGACACTTATCCTATTCCTCTCAAGCTAACTAGAAATGAATGCAAACAATAATTATATCAATTTTAGGCTTCATTTCCCCTTTCAGGGTTAATAAGGCATTATTTGTTATCTTGTTCAGGGCTCAACACTAACTTTTCAACTTACTAGCCAATGCAAGTTGCGAATGACATCATTATTCTTAGATGTTACAACAATTTCAGTTTGATTACTAGCCAAACTGGCCGGTGGATTAATAAAAAAACACTAGCCAAAACTGAATTCTGCTAGTCTGTGGCTAGTTGGCTACTGTTAGTGTTGAGCCCTTGATAACTCTTTACACTTAACCCTTTACTACCAGAGGTTTTTAACATGTAACCTCTCCCCATGATATCCTTACATGATCTTGCAAAGAGGAAATGAGAATAATCAAACTCATTCCTCTATTCGCTCCGACAAAGGGCTAACACTTGAAACGTCAGCTTTTATAATCATAATGGTGGCCAATTTACCATTTCAACTTTGTTGATATATTCAAATTATTTCATTAGGTGGAAGTTGTTGTTTTAATCTAACACCAAATTCTTGCAACTAACATACAAGGAAAACGTGTAGCAGCTATAGAGGGGTCAGAATTAACCATCAGATCTTTCAGTTAAAGGGGTTAAACATCAGTATGCATAATTATTCTCCATGCCATTCTCTATACATTTCATATAGCTGTGCAGATAAGGAGTATTTGTTTAACAATCAACAGCTTTTGTAGTTGGCAATCATGTCTTGTGACAGTCACAATAATGTTTGATTCAGAGGTGATATTGTCAGAAGAAATTAGATGCTAATGATGTGTACTCTTAGGGGTTAAGGAGTTCATAAGTCGAGCTAAAAAAAAAGAAAAAATACTAGGATAATTATGCTCTAGCAGTGTTAGCCCTTAATTAGCAAGGATGTTGACTTTGTGCATTATTTGATTGCTCCAGATTGCAAAAGATGCCAAAGAATGTGTCCAGGAATGTGTGTCAGAATTCATCAGCTTCATAACCAGCGAGTATCCTTTAACAGCAGGAGAATAAACAGTTTTTGTATGATCAATTTTCAAATAGAATCATAGGTTCATTGTGTGGTGTGATTGTCAAGATTCTAAATGATGAGGCCAGTGATGACCTCCCCTTAGGTTGTTTAAACTTCAGTAACTTCCAACAACAGTCCCTCCTAAGGCTCTTTTTTGTGGATAATCAGACTGGTCTGCCTCATGAATTGTGAGTCCTGGGTTTAAACTAGTCACTCTAATTTTGTCTCTACATTGTGGTTAGGAGAGATTTGGAGAAGAATCCTTTTAAAAAAACAGATCAGCATGGACTGTTTTATGCACTGATCCAAGTCTCTGTCTATTTTGATCAATGGGGTTATTGCGATTGGGGTTTAACTTCTGGAGTTTTATTTTTTCTTCTTGAATGTTTTTTTTCTTTTTTTGGCAAATACTGTTAATTTTAGTACATTGTGAATGTTGTCATGTGAATGTTGTAATTGACCTTAACTGAAGTGCAGGGCAAGTGAAAGATGCCATCAAGAAAAACGCAAGACAATCAATGGAGAAGATATTTTGTTTGCCATGCAAACATTAGGATTCGATAATTACGTGGAACCTTTAAAGCTTTATTTACAAAAGTACAGAGAAGTAAGTCGCAATTTTTGCACTTTGTACATTGAACATAATATGGCAGTTATTAATTAATACAGGATAATTAATTTTGGTTCTATCAACTGAGTTGATGTTAGGTAGACTGGCACTATAGAGAGTTTCTAAAGCTTCTAATTAGCATTAATCTTTGCGCTGGCCAATTTACATCATGAATGTAGTTGATAAACCAAAATGTTATCCAACTGTGCTTTGCAGAGTTTAAATAATGTGCAAGACCAGTACAAATATCACCGATATTTGTACTCCAGAAATTTCTGTGAAATTCACTTGCACTGAATTAATAATTTGACGTGTTGGATAATGAATCCCTTTTTATACATTTCATTTTGTAGTGTCGCTGAGTATATTTTTACTCGTTGTTTGTATTATGACTCGCCCTACAGGCTCATCCAAATATGGCACAATTCATAAAAGTACTTGGCAATATTACACAACAAAACATGTAATAAGATCTACAGTGTATTTATCTCGTTATACAACCCCACTGAAGCAGCACTACAGTTTCTCAAGAAACTTACCCCATTTAGTTATGAATGCGGTTGACTCCTGATAACTTGATTTCCAAGCTCACTCAAGCTTATTTGCGATATGTTTCCTGTAACTTTACCCTTCAGTTGATAACTTGAACATTGATGACTCCAATCTCTTTCAACTTGAGGCAGTGTTTGTTTTCTGTCTGCTCATTTTCTTTGTAATTTTTCTCTTTTCATCTCAAACGCAATAAAGATGTTCATGGAAAGTAAAAGCAAAGAGATTGCAGTANGTTGATTTCGACTTTTTCATCAGGCCAGCACTTATAGTGTTAACACTGGGTTTTGTACCAAATATTTAGCTTTGGGAAAGCAAAATTTAATGTGATTTGTTCCTTGCTAATCCTGCATCAACCCTTTTCTCAGTCAATCAAAGGGGAGAAGTCAACTGTTGGGTCTGATGTAAGAGAAGGAGAGATGGAAGAAGAGGATCATACTGTGCATCAATTTCAAGTAGCAGGTGAGAAAATTGATTAAAATGTTAATTCTCCTCTTAGTTTAAATCCTAATTCAACAAAGAGGTGATGAGAATACAGGAGGTTATCAAGGAGATGTTTGTTACATGTGTATCTTGATATAAAACCAAATCTCTCATCAGATAGACTAGAATATCTGTAGAGGTTCTGGAGGATTACCAGTATTACAGTTTGCAGGGTTTTGCACAGGTCCTGGAAAACCTGGAAAGTCCTGGGATTTTATTTTGACATTTTCCAGGGCTGGAAAGTCCTGGAAAAAGACTGCAAGTCCTTGAAAGTCCTGGAAATCTGCTTAAATGAAGCAATAAAGTTTTCAGAATCAACATTTTAATAAATGTATGTTGACTGTAAGAAGAATTGATTTTGAAATCTTGGGAATGGAAGGGTTTAAGGTGAAATTTGGAGTCCTGCAAAAATAACTTTGAGTCGTGGAAAAGTGCTGGAAAAGTCCTTGAAGTTTGTTACAAAATAAAAGGGGACAAACCCTGGCGAGCTTATCAAGGAGTTGTTATCTTGATATAAAACCAAATCTCTCATTAAATTTGATACACAAGAATATTTGTAGAAGTTCTGGAGGATTATTACAGTTTGGATCAAGAGTGTGAAAGTGTCAACAGATGTCAATGATTAATAAATCTGAAAGACTGTAGTAGCCACCAACATAATCATAATCATTAGAATTTCCTGAAATGGGATTGGTGTATCATGCAGTTGCTTTATTTTAACTAATTTTTCTGTAGGGTTGTAATTGAACAGTATCATCAGACAAGTGGCTTTAATGAGACACCGGTAAACAACAGTTAAAACAACCAATCATGCTAAGTCCACTTGGCTAAATCCACCAATCACGGAAGTGATTACACTAACCATAGCAACAACTACTAGCTTACCCCACAAACTGGAGAATTTTCAAAATGGAGGAATTTTCTTACCTTAGACAATGTCTACTGGAAATGCTTGCTCAACTAGATGTATTGTTTTGTTTTGGTTTTTGGTTTTTTTCAGAAATTGAAATGGTTATCATGGGATTTAGTGGTAAAAGACTTGGTGTAATCCAATCCAGTCTGATTCATCAATATGAATAAAGGCTGATAGTTTCTAAAGAAACTGTTAGGGGCTGTGTCGGTGGGGGTAACGAAATAATTTGAATATATCAACAAAGTTGAAATGGTAAATTGGCCACCGTAGCGATTACAAAAGCTGATGTTTCGAGTGTTAGCCCTTTGTTGTAGCGAACAGAGGAATTGTGGGTTGTGTGTGTTTTTAAAGGCAGAAATGGAGCTGTTATTGGTGGGAACATAATTATGACAAAGAGAAAATTCATTAATATGATTACAGACCAAATCGGACTCCATTTGGTCCTATTACAATCATTCACAGTTGCATTTTGTTGTGTGCCCTTTGTAGGAACACACCTCCATCCTTCTATGATTGGAACAGACCAAACTCCAACAACAATTTACAGCTCACCTCAATTTCAGACAACGGTAAGATACATGCAATGCAACTTATGCAGTGTTGCTTTAGATAAAACTAACTCTCTTCATAAAAATAGCAAAATTAAAAGGCAAGTTGATACATTGCCTCTTTACCATGATAAGATTTTTATCTTCACAAAAGAAAGATACAAATTGTATGCTCAGTGTATTCTGTGAAAAATTCTGGTATCAAATGAATATGAGCAACATGTAAAGGACACTAGTTTATCCCATAAGCCTTGTTCATACAGCCTGTATGGTGCCACTCGAGAACGAGTTTGCAAATAACTTTTAGGTAGAACGATTTGGTTTGGAATTGGTCTTTTTTATAATTATGCAATTTATTTAATATTATTTTCAATATCTGTTTACTTTTTGTTTTCAGATGCAGCAATCTTTGCATTTTCCATGATATGAACACCCTAGACACCATTTGACTTGCCCACTACAAATGGATATAACATAACATGTACATAGTCTAGTCTCCAAGGCATATAGTAGTTGGAAATGTTTGTTATCGCTCCCAGTCTATCTTCAAACTAGAATTTTTTTTGTATACCCATTTCCTTCAGTTAAGACCAGCTTGTTTGTCAGACTGCAATCCAGCTAGCCTTCAGCTGATGTTCATATGGGTTTTACCTTGACTAGTCTGGTTTGAAGGTGTACAGGTGAAACTTTTGCACAAGGGCCCATTGATATGGCTTTGACAAATCAGGTTGAGTCAGATTCTGAAATCTCACTTTGCCAGTCTTTCGTTGCTAAGAAGTTAGCAAAGGTAGAGCCTGATTCCTGATTCCTGATTCCTGTTTTATGCCCCAATTTGATAAAATATTCACACTTCATAGATATAAAATGGGAAAATTCAAATTCTCTCCTTAAATCACGCTCACTTTTAACTGTAGAATTCACACATCACGTATTGAGTTTGGTCCTTAGTCACGGGTCATGCATAAACCCTTTGCCATCCTCTGCTAAAATCTCCAAGTTTTTGCAGTAGGTGCGTTATCCTAAAGCTTTGTTTTCCAGTCCCTGTTCTCGTAAAGCAGCCTGAAATTCCCTGTATGAATGGGTAACAAGATTTGCCCTCTTAACTAATCTCTAGGGTTATTGGGCTCAACTGAAGAGACTAAAAGAGGTAAATGTTACAAAGAGATTTAACAAGAGCTGGGCTCTCACATGGTACGCAAGGGAATTCGTGTTGACTTTGTATTGTAACGAGGGTGTCTTGCAAATCTTCTTAGATGTATCAGGGCTCGACACCAACTTTTCAACTTACTAGCCAAGTGGCTAGTAACAACTTAGAATTCACGAAAATTCCAGTTTGTTTACCAGCCAAACTGGCCAGTGGAAATCGAAAACTACCATCCAAAACTGAATTTCTACTTTTCTGTGGCTTGTTGGCTACCACTAGTGTCGAGCCCAGTGTATATGTAGTGGTCTAAGAATCTGTCTACTGTGGGTTCTGCTACTTTAGGTACTTGCTTTTCAATAACTGTTCACGAATGTCGCACTATGGAATGAACCAAACAGGGCATGTATGTTCAGGTGATTTTATCCTGTTATGATGTAAGTTGTAGCATTCAACCAAATCATTGCTGGTTCTAAATTTGTCGACTCATTCAAGTTACTATGGTAAACCCAGCCTTATGTATGAACGTGCTACTTCTCCTTGCTTGCATCAATACACTGTTAAGTGAAGATGTGATGAGAATGTAGATTAGAGAATGTAGATTACTGTCAACTGAATGAGGTGTTCCTTACTTTCCGCTATATTCCCTTAACTTTTTCACAAGATTTCATAAGTAATTCTCCTAACTGTCTGCTCTATGATTCTTATGTTGGTTTTGAGAATTTGGTATTGGATCAGGTAATCGCTAATTGCCATTTTTCTTTATTCTCATCATATGTCTGCTTGATGTTGTATTGATAGCGTAAGTAGAAATGCAGTCTTGATCAGTCAAGGGAATGAAATGGTTAACTGACATGCAGGATTTGTTTTTTGTTTTGTTTTGTTTTGTTTTGTTTTGTTTTTTTAGATCTTGGGAACAAAAATTTCTCATTGCATCAGTCCCTCCAAAAGTAATTGTGTAAATAATTATGATATAAAAAAAACTTAAGTACAAGAGAGAGAAGATTTTAAACGAGTGTATTTATCTTTCAGTTTTGATTTTAGTTCGGCTGCTTTATAAAACTTGAGGTGGCCCGCGGAAAAGTTTTTTAGAAGTGTACCTCAGAGTGTGTAAAGGATAGAGATTATTTGGTTGACTGTGATTTTACTGTAGTTCTGTAGAACTTTTTCTTCGGTAACTATTTCGAAATAAACCATACAAAGCATATACATTTTATTTTGCGTCCAAACTCATTGCCTCCAATCGGTAATGCTATTAGGTTTGAACGCCATTGGTTTTTTCATAAAGTTTCACCAACTTTATTTATTGTTAAAGATTACCGTCAAATATCATCGATTTCTTCTAGTCATTCTCTTCTTTAATCAGTTGTCGTTCACGGGTTTGCCTTTCTTTCGGTTTTTTCTTTCTTTTAGTTCGTTTGTTACTTAAATCGTTTGTCCGTCTGCGTTTCTTCCTTCGCTTTTCTTCCTCCATTCCGTCTGTCTGTCGATACGTTCGCCGTTAGCTTATTTATTTATCCACCTTTCCTTCCATACGTTTGTTTATTTGTCGTTTTTCCTTCCTTCGATCTGTCGTAGTTTATTCATTTTTCAGTCCATTCGTTCGTTTATTCGTTCGTTCATGCGTCCGATAACTCTTCGCATTGTAACATCAGTATGAATATTCTCCATACCGTTCTCTATACATTACCTTAGGTACTGACAAGGAGAATCTTTATGAACCAATAACTCCTTAAGTCTGATTTTCTTTATTCTGGTGACTTTGTGCTTAATCCAGCGGGGATGATGTGGAGAGAAATTAGATGTTAGTCACTTCCTGCGTGTGTTTCATTCGTGCGTCCGTTCGGTCGTTCATTCGTCCGTCTTTTCGTTCGATTCTCCGTCCGTTCGTGTGCTGCTCTTTCGTCCGTTTATTTATTTGTTCATCTGTACGTCCGTCAGAACGTTCCTTTGTTCGTTGTTTCATCCGTCTGTCTATGCGTTCACTCGTCATGCGTTTGTTGGTTCGTTTGTGCGTGCGTTTATTGGTCAGTTCATTCGTCCGTTCGTACGTCTGTTCGTTATTCATTCGTTATGCGTTCGTTAGTTCATTTGAGCGTTCATTCGTCCTTCAGTCTTCCATTCTTCCTTCCGTCCGTTTGTCCGTCTGAATTTTTGAAACCAGTCAACTGATTGTAACTGTCATTGGAGGTTTTTGAATATTTCGGAAAAAGAAAGACTCAAAGGTAGTTAACAGTGACATATCCGTATCAAATATAGGTCTTTATTTCGACACACGTGTATTAGGTAATTAAATTTTGCACTCCGTGGAGTCTTCTGTGAAAGTGATGAGCAGTTAACAAACTTCTGTATTTTTTTTTTTTTTTCTTTTTTCTTTTGGTAGGGCAGATGCAAAAAATAATTAAAAAGATGAGGGTTAACAGTTTATCCTTGTTGGAAAACGAGGGGCATTGGAAAACTTATTAAGTTTTTAGGAATGGTTTGGTAGTTATTCTTTAGAGTCTTCATCGGTTGTGATCATATCCTCAGGGGACAAGTTAGTTATTTCATCTCTTTTTCTGCTGAGCTCTGGGCTGCATTTCCCTTGATTATCTAGAATAGGAGAATGATAAAAAGGGTTAGAACGATAGCACGTGGGTTACATAATAATTTCGATTTAGTGCGGGGTTTGGCTCTTAGAACAACGGTGGCCCAAAAGGCTCAACGCAAACAAAAAATGTACTGCAGCAAATAAAAAATATACTGTAGCAAATAAAAATATACTGCAGCAAATAAAAAATCAGAACGCAT